TTAATTCTAAACTCCCCCCCCCCATCAAATAGCGAACAAAAAAAATTCAAAACCATTAGCTCAATTTTGTAAATTTGAATTCGAACCTTAACGCGAAGTCTAAAGAAAATATTAGTAGAGCAAAAGCGCGACATTAAAATGAATGCAAGTCGCCTTAGCAAACATTCAGGTCTCGCGAAGTCAGCTGCCCTCTCAGTTATGCGGCCTTGAGAGCTTCATTAGCGGTTCTTCAGAAGAATAGACCAAGTGAATTAAGTCGGGCGTCGCAGGCCATAATAAGCAAATGCTGCAGATTTCACCGCGCAGAGATAATTGCATAGACAAGAAAAACAGTCAGGTTTCCCCATGAGGCCCTCATTGAAATCGTAACAAGAATATTCCTTGGATTCATAAGCACGTGTTTCAGGTAAATGAAGTAATTTATTCTCTTGTTGAACTTGTTTAAATAATTTCGTGTGACGAAAAAAATTAAAGGTTAAAGGGACCTTTGATGTATACATTGGAATAGCAACAAAGTTATTGCAAATGATATATAAGCACGTGTTTCGAATTATCAAAGCAATAAGAGCACAGGCTGAACTTGCTCCATGTCTACCTTTTGACATAAGCTGAATTGCAGCCAAACGAATGAAGGGAGAGGGGGGGGATCAAATTGTTGGGAAATTTGGATATGCGAGCTTTCAGAAGAACACGAAAGCTATTAACGTTTTCAATTATTATATACATAGTGATTACAAACACATTTAAACATTGATATTGGGATTCCAATACTGCACAATATTGAATACCAAATTTTCGGTGTTCTAGTATCTATCCCAAGTGCCAAAAATGTAGTACAGTACTCACACTCAGAAAAATAAATGGGTCTTATTGTCCAAATATTCACACACTTTCATGCCCACAGCACGAGCAGAAAGCGGACGTAGCACTTATACGACTGGTAGCCGTGCCCAACTGTGTCAGGATGACCCACACATGCACGGGTTAAAATTGCGTTGATCTTTGGACGATGACTGACTCTGATCGAGGCGTATAAATAATAGTTACAAATCGTGTACACTATCAAGAGCACACATATGTTACATATTAGTGTACATGTTGGTTACAAGTCTTGTACACTCTATCAAGAGCACACATTTGTTACATATTAGTGTACATATTGGTTACAAGTCTTGTACACTCTTTCAAGAGCACACATTTGTTACATATTAGTGTACATATTGGTTACATATTAGTGTACATGTTGGTTACAAGTCTTGTACATATTGGTTACACATTAGTGTACATGTTGGTTACAAGTCTTGTACACTCCATCAAGAGCACGCCGTGTTCGGCGTCTGACCCTCAGGTTTGTCTTATGCAGACGAGGTAAATCACACCTTGGGTGAGTGTACACTCAGAAAAATCAGTAGGTAATACTGTCCAAATAGTGACACATTTCATTACCACTAAACAAATAATGAGCAGACTTAGCACAGATACACCGCTTTTGTCAGGCCAAACTGAGTCGAGGTGACTCACGCAAGAGCATAAGTGCATTGCAATTTGAAGAAAGTCCCGGTAATTTCTGTGAGTGTAGAGGCTCTCAAGGGATTATGGTGCTCACGTCTGAGAAGATTTAGGCTCATCATCTTGAAATATTACGACACGGCCTCTTCAGAGGCCTGCGTGAATGTGAGGCCATCATCACTGTCGCCCTCACGTGAAGTCGTGGCTCTTTCATGGCTGGCCGAAATAATATAGAATTTTATATATTGATATCATGTGGATATTAAACTTCATATATCGTTGTTTTTTACTCGTGGATCACACACCTGTTTTATTCTGGGTAATTTCAGCTGAACCGTTCCACACAAGTGAAAACTTCGTTTCGAAAAATGACATCAGTTTCCCGCCGCCATAATTTGCATGATATTATAATCACAAGAGCTAATCTATTCATGTAAAAACAACACACGTAAGCTGCCAGGTGTTTAGTTAACTTTTACGCTCGCGTTTAGTTTACAAAGCAAACTTACGAGGTAACAAATGTCGTGTTTCAATAATGAGTTTCATGCACTGTTATCTCTGCTTCATTTTCTCGTTGCGCAAGGCCGAATAAACATTAACTGCATAAATGTGAAGAATTTTTCGCGAATATTGATGATCTTAAGGCCACATCAGCCTTGACGGGCTTTTCATGTTGCACTCCAGAGATATTTGTTGGAGGATACGCTGAGAAAATGCATTAAATAAAACACGTAATTATTCGTGCCTGTGACAAGACGAAGTATGCATGTTTACTGTGAAGTTTGGTTTTTTGTCTGATTTAGTGAACATAATAATTTTTATCGGTGGAAAATATGACGGCGCTGTATTAAAACGAGACGCTGTTTGGCAAGTATGATGAGTATGAACGTTCAAATTTGCCAACATTTTTTCACTGGCCCAACTAAGTATTTTTGTGAAATATAGAGAAGATTTATCATTCTATTTCATATAATTAAATTTTAATCAATTAAATGTTTTTTAAGTTGAATTCTAAAATAGGTTGTAAGCCATTATTACAACACTTCTCTTTAACCTCACTTCTTATTGTTTGTTTGTTTGTTTGTCTGCTACAAATCTTGTAATCGAAATTTAACAGACTTCTACTTATCCTATCGATCTGAAATTTTGCACACTTGTGTAAAGTTGGAGACAATGCATGAATCAAATGTCAAAATAAATGATTTTGAAAATTAAATTTTTTTTCCAATATTAAAGAAATTGAAAAAATAATTTTGTCAGCTACAAATCTTATAAATGATATTTGACACACTTCCACCTGTCCAATTGATCTGAAATTTTGCATACTTGTGTAAAGTCGGAGGCAATGCATGAATCAATTGACAGAATAAATAATTTTGAACAAAATTTTATATATTAAAAAAATGTGAAAAATATATTTTTTTAATTTTCGAAAATAAAATGAAAAAGTCATTGTACTCTTTAACTTTGGAGACACTGGATTCTTTAGAAGTGTTGTCTTCAAAAAGTAATTTTTAAACGTTTATTATTTTATGAATTTAACCGTATATACTGGAGTTACTACCACCTCTATGTGCTAATCTACACTCATGAACCTAACGAGTATTGCAGCGCTGCAGCCTTGTATGCCAACATGGAATTTGCAGCGGACTAAATAAGCATCCGTCGGTGAGGGAGAGGCCAACACTGCGGATAAGTCCTTCCTTTGCCTCTAAAATAAGGCCAGCGATCGAAGCTCGTTTCCCGATAATGAGAGTAATTAAGTAAAGTCCTTGCAGCAGCTTCACGCCGATGATTACATCGATCAAGTGAACGGTCGTCTAATTTGGGACGGCCTGTATGCACTCGCTTGTATCTCCTTCTTATATTATACATTGACGTCCTTTACTTCCTTGTGTTTGAGCCAAGACTGCTAATAAATAAACATTATTATCAATAATTTAATTGTAAGTGCCACTAGTCACTCAATAATCGCTCATCGTGATTGTCTTCACTAATTTTAGAAACAAATTAAAAGACACAGTGTCTTCAGACCACAATCTGTTAATTTAGAGTGAATTTTCCGCAATAGAAAACCTATCATTAATCAAGAAGAGTCTTACTCCCGAGCATAGGAGTAAGACCGATTCCTCTCTAAATGAAAAAAAAAACGAAAAAAAAATTTTCAAATTCACCTGCGAAAGATGAAAAAATTAAATTTCAGAATTAAAAAAATTGCAAGAGTTCATATATTCATCGAATACAAAAAATCTTGATATTGTATGCTTAATACGCCAATGAATATGGAAGTTTCAAATTGAAAGTCATTCTTCGTGAAGAAAAGAAACGACCAAGAAATCTAGATCACTATTCAGTAGCTACCAAAACCTAAAAAATTGACAGCAAATTTTTAACAGGAATAATCATCATTGGTGCTGCACTGCACTTGGTTTCAGCACAATACAATTTCATTAGTTATTTTTTTTATAATCGACATAAATAATAAGTCCCGCGGTGCACTCGGTTTTAACATTATAAACTGTCGCCACTCAATCAACAGAATAATCACAAGCAAAATTATAAGCACCAAAAATCAACCTCATTCCGGCAATATCATTGGTTTCGAAATGACCGGATACACACAGTTGTATCAACTAGCAAGAGATAGAATTGGGCTGTAAATGCACAGGTCGAAGAAACGTATCGTAAAACAATAAATAGAAGGGTTGTAAATGCACAAGTGAAAGAAACGTTTCAACTAGCAATAAATAGAAGGGCTGAAAATATCTAGGGTTGAAAAGCGTGAGCCAATCTTATTGCTTATGTAGCGTCGTCGGAAGTGCAATTTCAGAAGCAGGGCGCTGAGGCGTCACGACGTTTATTGTACGTGAGAGACTTGAACGAGACTGATGAGCCTCTGCGAGCCTCGGCTTAATATTAACAAAAAACGTCAAGGCCACGTGCCGGACCTAACGAATCAGGATTTTTATCGTGAACATTTTGCTTGTGAAATATATCAATTACATTCATTCAAGAAGTCCGTTTATTTATTTTACATTCTTTTTCACATAGAAGTGCACTATCAGAAAAAAATTCTAAAAGAAAAATAGTAGCATGATGAGATATGAAAAAATTTTTACCATAGTGAATGCAAATATAAGCTGATGAGCTTCATGGGCGAAATATGCGGTATAAAAACACTGAAAGGTACTAAAACTAAATGCTTCTTGTTAATTCAGTTTAGGAATAAGATTTTGATTGGTGCCATTTTCTTGATCATATGGTTTGCTCACATTCATTCCAGTTTATACTTGATCAATTTAAAGCATCAAGATTTTTGTTGATACAATTTTTCCGATGAAACATTTTGCTCGATTCATCGTCAGTTAATCGTGCAGTGACCATTTGGCAAAAAATGCGAGAAAATCTGCATTGAATTCTACAGCAACTGCATGAGTGTGCGACAGGAATAAAAACTAGTGAAGGGAGTCAAGACTTGAAAACCCTAGGCTATGGCAGGAGTGGGCATCTGGTGGCAGGAGAGGGCAGTGGGTGGCAGGAGAGGGCAGCGGGTGGCAGGAGAGGGCAGTGGGTGGCAGGAGAGGGCAGTGGGTGGCAGGAGTGGGCAGCGGATAGCAGGAGTGGGCAGCGGGTGGCAGGAGTGGGCAGCGAGTGGCAGGAGTGGGCAGCGGGTGGCAGGAGTGGGCAGCGGGTGGCAGGAGTCGGCAGCAGGCGGCAAGAGTGGGCAGCGGGTGGCAGGAGTGGGCAGCGGGCGGCAAGAGTGGGCAGCGGGTGGCAAGAGTGGGCAGTGGGTGGCAAGAGTGGGCAGTGGGTGGCAGGAGTGGGCAGCGGGTGGCAAGAGTGGGCTTTATGCTGGCCACGAATAATGACGGCCATCTATTGCATGGCGGTTCATTGATCGTGCCGTACCCGGAACCCGCCCCACCAGGCAGGCTGTGTTATACGACTGATTCTTTATCTAGCTATTCTGCCTGCGCTCTTGAGCAAACTATGTCAGAAGTTTGTTTGTAGTGCAGATTTGTACTACAGTTTATAACTAAAATATGCACTATAGCTATGTACTACATATAGTTTAGAAATAGAGTTTGCTCTGCAGCTTTGCACTGCATGCATATATAATGTCGGTCATTTACTATATTGTCGGTCATTTAGTTCGCTTTATAGACAATTAAATTGGTCAATAGCTTTAGTTTTCCCGATAGCATTTGCGGCTACACTTCATTTGACAATCAATAATAATTTTTTAACTTAGCCATGCCATGAGTACAAGTTTAAGTGACGGCTAGCCTAAGCTTTTTACAACAGTTCTAGAAATACTTACACAATTACCTACTCGCTGGACTACCTCAGTTTTCTTCCTTTCGTCGAACTGTAATCGTAGACTTGCTTGCAAACTGGCAATCCATCTAAAGATGAAAAAATGGACTTAAGTTTTACATTTTTGTCAGCGATCTGTCCTAATTAGTATTTTAAGCTTAGAGTCAGTGCAGAACAATGCGACATGTTGACCATTTCAAGACAAACTCTGCAAACTGCGGGAAGACAAGTACACCAGACAACCGCTGTAGTTCCCGTAGAAGTTCACTTGATAACGTCAACTGTGTCTGTGACGCGAGCTTTCCCATAAGTTAGGAAAGTTAGAGCAATCCGTCCTGTAGGTCGAGTAAACTTCAGCATCCTTCGTATCCTAACATACCTGAGAATCTATTCGAGTTTTGAAAACGTTTTATTTATCAAACAAGCTCAATAATAAACACTAACATCAAAATTGTACACATTCAAACTCTTATAGCAGACAATTCGTTTATAGTGTTTATAATTACCAAAACTTCTCAAGAACCTACAACACTTCTATACAGGAGAATATGTTTTAACCAGAGTACCTGGGTTGTGGTGATGAAGTTACTTCCCATTGCCACCCTTAAACCTTTCTTTTCTAGACCAATTCATTTGCCTGCTTCCGTTCTTTTTAAATTTTTGTAACATATCGCTGGAAAATAAGTCCCCTCGAGCAGTGACCGGAAGCCGCCGTATCTCTGAAATGAAATCTCCAGTGTCATGCAAAGAATACCTGACAGCATTTCTGTATTATTCAGCTCCTGCTCACATTTAGAAAAAACAGCAAATTGAGATTAAAACTGAATAAATAAAGACTGAAACTTCATTAATATTTCATTAAAAATGATTTGGTGACACGATTGCTCTATTGGCTTGCATTAATGTTGAGTTTTGCAGCTTCCACAATTATGAAAAAATAATCCTATATCTACTAAATCGTTGATATAGCATGCATCATAGTAGTTTGAGGTCCAGCAATTAACAAGATTGCTCAGTCTAATGAAAATATTCCACATTATTTCGCATATGTTAGTTCATCTGAGAAATAATCTCGCAGACTTGCGTTGGTCAAAGCACAACACAATTATGGGGCGCTCCAGTTTTTGAGATAGGACAGGGCTGTTCCGCATTGGTGATGAGGAATATAATAAACTTTATACAAAGTCGCAGCCGCGTCAAAATGACGACAAAATTGCGCGACAATCCGAAAACGGCATTTACGATCACAGTCCATTTACTTGAACAACTATTTGATAATGCACATCACATCGATAATTAGATGAAAATGAGGATGAAGGTTTAATACAGCCCATGCACATTAAGGCACTGTTAATATATTTTGCACTGGATCTAAACCTGATCTTTCATTGCAAAATCTTCATATAATCCCTGCTCTGGATTTTGTTTTTTAAAACCAAGCGCCAGTCAAATTTCTGTTGTTTTTCTCTTCACGGCCATTCACTAGCGTGGGATTGTCTGATCAGATTGCAGCGCTAGCCTGTGAGAAACGGAGTTTGTGTTGGCCACTGTCCATGTGTTCTGATCTTCATCCTATTATTGTTTGGATCATGTTCAATTGAAGATAGTTTACAAAAGTGCTCGGTTAGCTAGAACCACCGGACGTTGATGGCGTGAGGGACAAGTGAGAACACGAAAGTTTCGCCAAGAAAAAAATTAACAGAAACAAAAAGGTACAATAGAAAAAAAGTTTAGCATTAATGTATGATTGACTTGAATAGTCTTGGGAGTAAAAACATCAAGAGCTCGTAAAAATATTACTCATTCTCATAGAACAGAATTAAGTTTTTTGGAAGTTTCCAGCCTGGAAGCATCTAAAAACAGGAGTAGAACGCTTACTCAGACGGTACCCTTCGTTACTGATTTCTACCGCGTTGTAGCAATAGAGAAGGTCAGATATTTAGCCTCGCTAAGTTCCTGGCTTGGCATCTTGAAGCACCTGAGAAATTTTCCTTCTCTCACATTTTTTGCAGCGGAAGGCCTCATTTCCGTACTTTTACCCCTCGGTCTTTTCGTCGACGATAAGGCAATCTCTGGCACTGTCGAAAACGAGCCGCTCAAACATAGATATTTTTCGAAGAACCTCCAGTCAAGTTCCATATTTTAAGATAAATCGAAGCGTCTTCATCAGCTTAACGTCCGTTAGGCCGGCCCAGCGCCCTTTTGGACGCCGAATAACAACTTACCTTTGGGGAAATCTTCCAATATTTTTGACTGTGTTTTTTGGAATAATAGAATTTTGTAGGCTTCAGAGCTGTCGAATGCAGGAGCAGCTCTCGTGAGACGACAGCTCCAGGTGCTGCCACAAGACCCTTGCATTTCAGATGACCTCATCGGACGGGATGCGTGCGGACAGACCCAAGACTCGACATAAAAACTAAAAAATTCTACAAAAATATTTCCAATACAATCCTTTTTGCATTCAGTTTTAATCCGATAAATGATATAGGGAACATAATGATTTATGCAGAAATATTGTTTAGACGATCTCAAGAATGCCGTACATACGGTACGACGATATTTATTGAATAGATGCATAACATATGTCACTATCGCAAAATGATGTCGATATTAGAAGTTTTCCGAGAATTTGATGGCAGGCAATTTTCTTGAACGACAATCATGCCGCGCCGGGACCGATGCCATCATCCTTGTCCTGCTTACACAGCAATGGCTCGGTCGTTTTGATCATTTTTTAGCGCAAATGACGGCAATTTGTCGACACTGACACACTCTGTGCTCCACGAAACATCACTAACGGTGTCATTAGTCCTTACTCTTTGCAAACGTGCCGAATTGTTTGCCTCCAACGAGTTCCTGAGGGAATTGAGCTCGGCATAATGCGAGTCCCGCGGGGGACCCTTCACCCTTCTGTCTTACACTCATTACCATGCAGGCCATCTCGGCAAGCTGGTAGGAATCGTCCAAGATGGTATTTTTCAGCTATCGTTACTGTGCAAGGCTGCAAATAATGATAAATGTTCCATGTAACGATTCAATTTCACAGATCACGGCACTATGTCCTCATTCACGATACAATAGCCCAGATCACGATACTGAGTCGCAGCTCATAATGCGATCACGACAAAATTTCCAAGATTGCAGTATGAATGTCCCATAACACGATCTAATTTTCCAAAAATTACGATATAATATACCAAACAGTGATACAATGTCTGAGATTCGGATTCAATCTTAGACATCATCATGTCCTAACTCTAAACAATTAAGGTCCTAGATCACAATACGTGTCCAAGATTACGATGCGACTCTTCAGATCACGATCAAATTTTCAAGACTGCACGATACAATTTGTCCCATAACACGATAAAATGTTCCAGAGATTACGACATCACATTCCAGGCTATGATACAATGCCGAAGACCACGATGCGATGTCCCATAACCCGATAAAATGTTCCAGATGAACTCTGGAAGCATTGGAATTTTCCCGTCATTGCCCATTTGGAGAAACTTCTCCGATTAGAAGCCATGAAAGAGTTTCTACGCAATTTGAGAATCTCCTGCGCGCTAATTTCATGCAAATATATCAATAAATGATATTATAGGTCTAGATGAGTTTGTTGAGGCCTTTCAGCAACGAATAAGAGGATATCAATGGAAGGTAAAAGGTCCCCTAATAAAGTATCCTATCTCTATGAATTATCAACTTGCAAATTATGATGCTTGTTCAGTTTAATTTTAACCGTTTCTAGTCAGTATATTAAACTTGTTTGCATTACAATCATTCATTAAAAATTTGAAAAACCGTCAATTTTAAATAATATGAATCACAAAGTAAAAATGATAGCATACATTATAAATTATATATGCCCAGCATACGACATTCCCAGATTGAAAAAAAATTGAAATTGAATAACACGAATGCCTGGTCTTAAACACCCCCAAACACCTGATAGCGTCATTTAAGCTTCTTCCGGGACGCTTGTTTATTTTTATACCGACATTGATTCATAGTGCCAGTCTCTTAGCTACAAAATTCGAATGTTTCCGTGGGAACTGGTTAAACTGGCCTCCAAGTTGCGAATTTCGCATTCAAGACAACTCGAGCCTGATCACACCGCAACTCTGGTGAATGTAAAACACGTATCACCGTAAAGCATCTCACGATCAGGATTGAGGGAAATAATAGACGCTTTTCTGGTCTCAGTATAGAACCCTGTATAAATAACAGATTGTTACAAGTTACATAAATACAACTACATAGAAACGATTATAAACAGTATAAATCAAATTATCTATTAAACAAAGTAATTAGTACAGGATGACTGTTGCAACGCATTAGTACTTACTCTAATAAGAGGTTCTAGTGCAATGTATCAAAAATACTAAAAGCTGGAATGAAGTTGGCTATTGTCGTATTCAGCTGTGGTTACGTTCAGATATAAACAAATCTTTATATTACAATTAAATCTAATTCTAGATTTCTAAATATTTTCATTTCTTAATACAAAATCTTAAATATTAAACTAGACCGCTACACAGCTTCC